GGGGGAAGGTCATCCACACAGAAGGGGTCTCACTCCCAGAAGGAACAATAGCAGACATAGAGGACAGTTACAAGTACCTAGGTATACCACAAGCAAATGGCAACCTCGATGAGGTCACAAGGAAAGGAGCCACAGCTAAATACCTCCAACGAATAAGGCAAGTCCTGAGAAGCCAGCTCAATGGCAAGAACAAAATCTGTGCGATAAACAGCTATGCCTTGCCAGTAATCAGATACCCTGCTGGAATAATTAGCTGGCCAAAGGAGGAGATAAAAGCCACAGATATTAAGACCAGAAAGCTACTAACAATGCATGGAGGGTTCCATCCCAAATCCAGCACCCTGAGACTGTACACGAGCCGCAAGGACGGAGGCAGAGGACTAGTGAGTGTGAGAACCACTGTCCAGGACGAAACAACTAAGATCCATAAATACATCAGGGACAAAGCCTCAACAGACAATGTGCTCAGTGAATGTCTCAGACAACAGGGAACGGAGGTTGAGGTGCCAGAGATACCATCATGGGAGGACAAACCCCTACATGGGATGTACCACCAGCAAATAACCCAAGTGGCTGATATCAGTAAATCCTACCAATGGCTGGAAAAAGCTGGACTCAAGGACAGCACAGAGGCCCTCATCCTGGCAGCCCAGGAACAGGCCCTAAACACCAGAGCAATAGAGGCCCAGATCTACCACACCAGACAAGACCCAAGGTGTAGGTTGTGCAAGGAGGCCCCTGAGACAGTCCAGCACATCACAGCAGGGTGCAAGATACTGGCAGGGAAAGCGTACATGGAGCGACATAACCAAGTGGCAGGCATAGTGTACAGAAACATCTGTGCAGAATATGGACTGGAAACCCCAAGATCAAAGTGGGAAACACCCCCAAAGGTGGTGGAGAACGCCAGAGCTAAGATCCTGTGGGACTTCCAGATCCAGACAGACAAAATGGTAATGGCGAACCAACCAGACATTGTCGTAGTGGATAAACATCAGAGGAAAGCCGTTGTGGTAGATGTAGCAATACCAAGTGATTGCAACATCAGGAAAAAGGAGCACGAGAAACTAGAGAAATACCAGGGCCTCAGGGAGGAACTGGAGAGGGCCTGGAAGGTGAAGACCACAGTGGTGCCTGTGGTCATCGGTGCCCTCGGGGCAGTAACCCCCAAACTGGAGCAGTGGCTACAACAGATCCCAGGAACAACATCAGACATCTCAGTCCAGAAATGTGCAGTCCTTGGCACAGCCAAGATACTGCGCAGAACCCTCAAGCTCCCAGGCCTCTGGTAGAGGACCCGAGCTCAGAGGATAAGAACCACCCGCGGTGGGTGAGAAGGGAACTTTTTTATTTTTATATATATATATATATATATATATATATATATATATATATATATATATATATATATATATATATATATATATATATATATATATATATATATATCAAATATGACTTAAAAAGAAATTTGACTTTGTAATTTAATGCCTTGAAATTGGGCCTCTGTCTCTTTAAAAACTTCTGCTCTTTTTGTAACTCCGCCTTCAGGCCTACTCAATTATCCCTTCAACAACGTTTTGAGCAGTGCTCCAACCACTGAGAAGTAGCTCCTATAATGAGCTCAGCAGATTCACAGTTCCACTGGGTGTTTGCTAATTGCTGCTGGCTAGTCTGAAGGAGCTGGGTGAGGAGGACGGCTTTGTGAGGTGGAAGATCGGTAGCCTGGAAACTGCACCCACATATTCTTCCAAGCTGAACGGTTGCCATGGGAGATTAAAGGACTTCTCAAACATTCGCAAAAGAATTAAAGTTATTTTTTGATGACGGAAAGCTCAAACTTGTCAATTTCACCTAGTACTGCCCCTTTAATACATCTGAAATAAATACTTGTTTTATTTCAAACTGCAAAGACAATCAGGAAAACAAAATATTCCTAATTATATTGATATAATTTGGGATATTTGATAAGAAATGTTATTGTAAAATCTGAGAAATGTCCATTCATTTTTAAAGTAGATATTACAATTCATTCAGTAATTTTGATCTTTCTTATGTTTTTGGGTGTTATCAAACTGTTGTTCACTGTAGACATATGCCACTTGTGGTTTCCCGAGCAGACTGGTCTGCGGGCAGTGTGCTGTTGTTCCTGTACCTTCCTCAGGCTGATCTGCTTCACCACGCAGTTCCCGTCTCCATCTCCCCGTTTGTCTCTGACGAGTAAGGCTCTCCCAAACGCACCTTCTCCGATCTGCCGGATAACCTCATAGTCATTCATAACGCCTGGAAATGCTGCCACGCACACAACACAGGATTATCAGCCAGGCGTCAGCTGTGCCAGAAACAAGCTGTTAGCTACAGCATATTTACATTTTGTCTCACTGTCTGCAGTCAAATCAGACCACACTTCTCTTGGTTTTGGGTCAGTTAAAATATCAACTAAGCCAGCCCACTTAAGACCCAACCAAAATAATTTCTATTTGCTAAATCCCACAATAGAAATAATACCTCAAATATTTATTTATGATTGTCTTCTTCTCCTTCTTCTTGGATTTACTGGCGGTTGGCAACAAACCTTTAGTAGCATTAATGTGTGGTTTGTGATGGTCTATCTCGATATCTTGACCACATTTTGGACATCTCTGCATCCCTTTACAAACTGCTGATATGTGACCTTTGACATTTTAAACAACAAAGTGGTGGCCTGTCTGAAAACTGAGATAACCTATTTTGATGTTTTGTGGCAACTCTTTTTCTTCAAATTCACTGAGGATTGACAAACTTCCTACTTTTTCTCCATTTATTGTTTTTGACAATAATAATTGTCAGAGCAAAAAGCTCCTACAATACTTCTCTTAATTTGATCAAGATCTTCGTCTAGCAGTGGTGTCAAATTCCAGTCCTCAAGGGCCGGGGTCTTCCAGCTTTTAGATGTGCCTCTGCTGCACCACACCTGAATAGAGTAATTAGGTCATTAAGGCTCTGGAGAACTGATGTACACAATGAGGAGGTAATTAAGCCATTTCATTCCAGTGTTTTGTACCTGTGGCGCATATAAAAACTGCAGGACAGCGGCTCTTGAGGACTGGACTTTGACACCTGTGATCTAGCGGGATCCCATAAATCACTCATCTAATTATTTTACTCTCTCCCATGATTTTTTTTCTCCAATAGTTTTTTGTTTGTTTGTTTGTTTTTTTACAGATAGTATCAACATTTAAAGCCTCATTCTTTTGCTCTTCATTTTTACAAACTACCAATAGGTGTCCATCTCTCAAAATCTTTACCATTTCAACATCTCCACTTTTCTTTTTAATTTCTCTTGACACCACGATGGGGCTGATGTTACCCTGTTCTTCCTCGTTCTTAAGTTTTAACATTATTTTAAATTCCTCCCTCACAACTTTCCTTTCTTCTTCTGAACTACTTCCTTCTAGTTCTCTAATTCCCTTTTTTATTTATTCTTCCACGTCCTATCCCTTTCAATTGTATATGTATTATATATATATATATATGTGTGTGTGTGTGTATCATACTAATAGCTTGAACTGAGTTCCCTATTAAGTTCATGTCCGTTGCCATGGATACGGCAACACAGTTAGCAAGCTAGCTAAACTTTCCTTGTCCGGACGAAGAGGCTTCCTTTTTAATGTTTTTAAAGAAATAAGTTTACTTACGGGTTTGGGACTTCACAGTCGCAGTACAGTTAACATGACTGAGAGGGTGGGGGAGGAAAGGAGCGATAACAAGTTGAAGAGCCGCGAGACGTCACAGTAATGTCCGTCTTTCGACCCAAAAAACTAAAAAAATATAAGCTGCAGTACGGCGAGCAAGAGAAGGTACCGCGGAGAACACTGGGAGATGTAGTTGTTTTCCCACATCATAGGTAGAAAGCTCACGGTTCCCTTCAGAAGGGTGGATTTCAAACGTTGTTAAGCATCTTAGAATGCTGTTCCTTTTAATAATTGTAGTGTTAAACAATGTCTCTTTAAACGCGACTGAGAGTTATTTGGTGTGGCATTTGCAATATCAAAGAAAGATTACCTTGAGTAAATATAAACATTAAAGTCTCAAACATAAAAAATAAAACTAATTTCTAATATAAGTGTGATGTGAAAACCGTCCTCTGGACTTTCAAGGTGACCCCTCCATCTTAACGCCTGGTTCTTTTCCCATGATCCTCCTGTGTGTGGGGTTGCAGGGGTACTTTAATCACAAATCAATTTCCACTGCGATCAAATGACAGGAGCGGTGACAGCTGATCCAGTGTCAGCACCCATACAACATTTAGCATGTTAAACGCGTGTGACGCTGAGAGGAACTATAGTTAAACCGCCATTAAATCAATAACAGTAAATGAAAGACAACACAGACTGCTGGTTTTTTTTTTAATCCATTTTTTGGTTTATTGAGTTCATTGAAGAGCTTATATACACAAATTAGTACAAGAAAAATAAAACAAAACAAAAAAGTTATCAAAACTGAAACTTAAAAAAAAAAAACACATTTGAAAAAGACTTTAACATAAGTGTGCTTCCTGCTTGCCCTTCCTCCTCTGGATTTCCCTTTCCAGTTTTTGCCTGTTGTTTTTAGAGCTAAAAAAACCCCAAAACAACAAAAAAGTATGGTTCTGTAATCCCCCATTGAGAATGCATTCCAGACAATCGGTGCAGCATGTTGTTAGCTACAGCAAACATTTAAAAAAAAGTCTCTCTAGTCTGTCGAGGTTCGAAAACCACAATCAGTGGGATGCCCTGTTTCCGAAGGTTTTTATTTTTATACTTAAAGAACTGCAAACAACACCCATATCTATAGAAGCGAACGGTTGCTATTTACTGCAGACGTTTTGATTAAAATCATTTATACGTGGATTTTCGGCTAAGCATCATAGCTTCCTAGATGATTCCCAAGCAGAAAAAGAAACAGAAAAAATAATAAGCTTTTACTTTAATTAACATTCAGTAGATATTTACCACACAGCTTCACATTTCACTCCTCTCTCTTGCTCAAAACTCTTTATTGCAGAACAGAAAAACAGATAGGTGACGATGAAGAACACGATCTCGCCCGGCGCCTGCGACTTTAAGAGCTTCGGTCGAGGCGTCTCAAGGCTCGCAGATCAAAGTTTCCACCACAAACTTGTTCTCGAAGTGACGAATCTTGTGGCAGTTGAGAGCTTCGCGCTTCTGCATACCTGTGAGACGGAATAAAGGTTCTTCGTTACGTCGCGTGAACGGCACTTTGGGTCCTCTGCTAAGGAAAGGCAGTCGCCTTGGAAACGTATTTCAAAGGCCTTCAATTTTCTCTACATCTAATAATATTATAAACGCAAATTTGAATGTGTTTTCTTTGGATTTCTGACTGGCAAAAATAATGTTAAGTGTAAGGAAAAACTTCGTGGACACAAACAACTGTGACCTCCCTCAGAATTCAACCCCTTTTTCATAACACCTTTAAATAAAAATACCACAATTGCCTTCAGAAGCCATGTTCTTAGTAAAAAGTGTGAAAAAAGAGAAAAAATTGGAAGAACATACGCTAGAAATAGTTCTGCTCAAAGTACATTCGCTTGTTATAATGGCCTAGTCTCGGGGTGGGCAATCCTGGTCCTCGAGGGCCGGTGTCCTGCAACTCTTGGACGTCTCCCTGGTCCAACACAGCTGAATCAAATAACTGAATCACCTCTGAAGTGCAGTCAAGTTCTCCAGAGTTCTGCTAATGACCTCATTATTTGAGTCAGGTGTGTTGAATTGGAGACACATCTAAAAGTTGCAGGAGAACAGCCCTCGAGTTGCCTACCCCTGGCCTAGTCAAAGGCCAAGCATAAATCCAAATGAAAAATGGGGGCAAGATGGATGCCTTTTATCCAATCTCTGAGAGATGTAACTATTTTGAAAAGAAGCAGGAACACCAAACAAATTTGAAATTAAAAATTGTTTTGTGCTTTTATGTTGTAAAATGTGGTGGGAAAAGTTATTAGGAGATAATACATTGAGATTTTATGAATGTTCTGAGTGATTTTTATCTAACAGCGCTTGGTAATTAATTTGTTTGTTCACAACAATCTGGTGCTGGGACCCAGATCTCTCTAATGAACACTCGAGGGCGGCGATGTTCACAAAACCGTGTTGAAAACTATAATTTCCTTCTACTTAACAGTTAAACCCTCCCCCCAAAAAATACAGTCAAATGTATGGTTGTCAAGTTTGAACATTTTTAAGATGCGGAAGTTATATGTTCATATGTTCTGTGTGTGTTGTGGTGTTACATGGAAAAGCTACACACCCAGAATTGTGTCTCTGCGCTGCAGCTTGAAGGTTTCTTTGTTGTGGCAGAGGTTGTAGATGAAGTACCCAAGCTGGTCGACGTTCTCAAGACGCTCCGTCACCATCATCTCCTCGTGGATCAGGTACGACTGGGGCAGGTAGGAGCCAGCCTGGCAGAGGGGAAAAAAACATCTCTGTCACAGAGAAATCTGGTTATCTTTTTTAATAATTCTTCCTTCTTATGTTTCAATCTTAAACAAAAAAATATTCTCAATATTTTGAGATTAATCTCAAAATATTGAAGTTTTTTCAAGCAAATGTTTTGACTTTTCAAACTCAAAATCTTTTTTGATTTCTTTTTAAAAATTCCTAAGATTAATCTAAAAATTTACAACTTTTCAAACTCGGAATTTTTGGGGGGTTTTTCTCAAAAATTTCTGAGATTGGTCTCAAAATTTGTGTTTTTATTTCTAGCAAATGTTTTGACTTTTCAAACAAAGTTTTTTTTCAAGAAAATTTTTTTCAGAAAATGATCCCCCTTTATTCTTCTCCTATCTACAATGGCCATAACAAGCTGCCGTAGATTAGTCATTACATTCTGGGACCCACTCTTTTTTGGAGGCCACATTTCCTTTAAATTTGTTGTGCGTGGAGAACAGCAATACATATTTCCATTACTTTATTTGAGTGTTGTAAGAATAATGTGGCATATTCATTCCTTTGGACTTGCACATGTTGCATCAGGCCTTATGTTACATTAAGGGGAGAAAAAAATGCTGTCTGAATATCTGCTCCAACACGTCAGGGTGTTTCGAAAACGCTACGATGTCACAAAAAATTAGATCGTTTTTCATTCAGAGCAACTAACAACAAACACATGTCGAGTTCCCTGAGAGAAAATCAGCCTGGATTTACGTCACAGGAAAACCTTGTGCTACCTTGACTTTGATGAGCAGATCCAAAAGATCTCTGGGAGGCATGACGATGGAGGTGTTGAGTGGGATGACGTAGCATTTGTTCAGGTTCAGATCCAGGTAAGCGGTCAGCCTCTGGGAGAGGTAAAAAAAAAAAACAATGAAAAAAAAAACGGCACGTTAAGCACTCCTCTGTCAAATGTTCTGTTCTCTCAGAGTTGTGAGGTTCCTCACCCTCTGAAAGTCGTGGACGATATCAGCGGGGTCTCCGTCTTCGAAGTCTGGCACGGGCACATTGATGAACTCCACCTGCTCCCGCTCCAGCACCCTGATCTTCTCTTCCAGCAGTCGCTGGAAGTTCCTGTTTGGCATCTCCGCCTGCGGAACCACACCGGTACAGGACTCAACATGGTCGCTTTGAAATAAGCCTTGCCTGGCAGCTAATTTTTAAAGTTATTTCTAAAGGAAAAAAAAACTAAATACCTTCAGGACATGTGAATATTGAGAAAATAAATTTTTCACAAACCTCCTCATCAGGGACCATGTAGTCCTCCTCGTGGTAATTCACACCACAGAAGAAGACCTCGTCTTCCGGCTTTGGTAAGGGGAAAAAAAAAGAAGAACATTTATAGAAACATATTGAGATTTTTGACACATAAACAGAGGATGATTGTGTAAACACTAAGTGTGCTTGTGCAGTCCATGTCCATCAGTCTAGGGTTCACATCAGGATAAAAATGTTTCTAGTTCAAGATGCGCTTTTGAAACAGAACATCACATATTTTACAGTTTGCTGACGTGCTGTTAACACATACTTTTTGCATTGTTTACACATTCATGGTGTATAGTATTTGGACGCCTATTAAACGTGCAAACATGTTGTTCGTGTGTTGTGTGAAATTTCCACAAGTACATGATCTTGCTGGCATTCCAGGCCTATACTATAAACATAGCACGTTGTTGCTAGCCAACAAAAGAGTGAGTGAGTTAGTTGATGTCACCCACCTTTCCTAGCCAGCAGTGGAAGGTTGAGTGGCTAAACCTTTCCTTCGCCTACATTCCCCCAGATTGTTGTTCGGCTCTGAATGTGAAACTATAGAACATCTTATTTGAAGTGTTTTCTGTCAATGTTGATCGTGTGTCTATCCCAACAGATATCGTTGTCGTTTCGTCACTCAGTCCTTCTGTCTGCCTGCATATTCACACATTGGTGTTTTGTTGATGTTGGGTTGGAATCCCGACCTGGCTTCTTTCTTCATGGAGTTGGCATTTCGACCCTGAGCCTACGTGGCGTTTTCTTTGGGCACTCGGGCTTCATCCCTCAGACCAAAAACATGGCTGCTAATTGGTCTCTCTAAATTGCCATTAGGGTGTGTTTGTGTGTCTTTGTGTCGCCCCACCTCTCGCCCAATGACCGCTGGAAATAAAGACGCCAGAGCCAGCAAGGATATATAGCAATGACTAGATCTAACATCTAAACTCTATGGAAACCTTGTGTGGTGAAGAAAAGACACATGACTCTGTCTAAAATACCTAATATCCCACATCTTTTTGTTTCCTCACTTGAGATACTTCCGCAGCGCTATAATGACTTGTGTTCACCTCCAGGATGTAGTAGCGGTAGAGGTAGGCTCCTGCCACCACCACCCCGGACAGCATGAGGGCCAGCCCCAGACACATGCACCAGCACCAGGTTTGAGATTGGCGACGGACCACCAGAGCTGCCTCGGCATCCTGCAGGAGAGAGAGAAGAGAGGCTGTCAGGGATTGGTTGACGGCAGCACACTGGGCCTGTTGCTAGCTTCCCCATTAACACAATGACTTCTTTATATTATATTGTTATGTCAGTATAACAGAGTCATATCAGTCTTATGCTCAACCCATCAAATAAAGAGTTACCGGTCAGTCTATTGTTTATTTTACAACTGGCTATTATATGGTTGATTGTACTGACTGAACAAATCAAAGTTGTTTTTGCATGTTTGACCAAGCTGGTGTATTTATGTGTGCTGTATTGATGGAGAGTTGTCACAAAAAATGTAATTAAGTACATTTATGTCTGCGGGAAAAAAACAAACAAACAAAAAAAAAACGTTTTAAGTGTTTTTTGTATCAGATCAGTAACCGCCAATACTAAACCTCAGATATCGGTATCAGAAGTGAAAAAAGTGGATCTGGCCCTCCATAGGTATTACACTATTTGAAAGTTTTACTTGAAAAACACTCTAAAAAGGTACACTGCAAAAAACTTAGTAAGATTAAATATCTTAAATTAAGGAGATTTATGCTTGTTTTTTTTTTCTAACAAGATCCTTTTTCTCACCAAGAGATTTGAGAATATTTTTCATAAAATAATATATCTTTTTTGTTCAAGTAAAATTGGCTTGTTTTAAGTAAAAACACACTAATTTTAAGATATTTGTAGATTCATCTTGGTTAGGTATTTTTTTTTCTTGTTTTGGAAAATCTTGGTAAGATAAATTTTCTTGTTCTGTTGGCAGATAAGTTTTCTTATTTTAAGAACATTATACTCTATTTTTGTACTGTTTTCCCCCTTGTTTTTGAAAAGGGATATTTTGCAGTGTCCATTCCTGGTTAAATTTTGATGTCTTCAAATGTTGATGATATTTCAAGTCTTTGCCAGCTTTCAGGTAGCTGATGATCTGGGAATAGAAAAGATCAGAGCTTGACCACAAACAGGAAGTCTGGAAAGCCTCCAGACAAAGTCGACCAGAGGCCTGGGTGTGACGGAAGGCCAAAGTGGGTCTTTGTGCAAAAAAACAAACACCTTTATTTTTTATTATTAGATCAGATGAAGGTTTCACTTCTCTTTACAAGAACACAGAGGGTAGCGTGACTCATCACAAAGCAGACCACAAGCAGACATGGAGATTGAGGGAGAATCCCCCCCCCCACACACACACACACACACAAACAAAAGACACAGTGAAACGAGAAACAGATGAGTACCATTTCTCAACCTCACTTTGCAAAATCAAAGCATCAAGCCTGAAAGCAGGCATACGTATCTGTATAAAAGTGCAAGTAGTTAATTCAAAACCACCTAATGTGCCCAGCCTTGCTTCCTGTTTGCGTGAGCTAAACTATGTCAGATCTTGCAGTCTTGTGTAAACCCCCATCAAAAGAAAACAAGCTTGAGAAAACAACAGGCTCTTCCAAGAAAAGCCAAAGTCCAAGTCTACAAGTTGAGAAATAGTAAAAATCTGTTATTCCGCTTTTGATTTGACACAACTTGAAAGTAAAACTAAACGCTTTAGTTTTACTTTGCAGCCATGTCGTCTGTTTACAGCAGTACCACCCAGTGCAGCTCAGGGACACCAACATTTCCTGCTGTTGTTCCCACAGACTGCGACAGGCGGCACGAAGCAGGAACAGGAAGGAAAGCATCAAACTGTCTTAACTTTCAAAGTCAATTTTTTGCTTAGCTATCTTTTTATTCATGTATTTATGTTTTTGTTAAAGAAAACATTTCCCAAAAGACTGAAATTTTTTTTCTTTAAAAAAAATAAAAATTCAGCTTCCATGCACCACAAATCTGGAAGTACCAAAAAATTCAAGTTCCATTGAACTAAGGTTAAAAACCCGCCTGCTTTTGATTCCTAATAACTGGAACATTAATTAATACATTTGACGTGCTTAACAATTTGATCATGGTATTTGACTAAATTCTTTGTTTCATAAATGGTTATGTAAGTCACTCTGAATTGCCCTTGTTAGTAAAATGTTCTACACAGACTTGACTTCAAGGACACAATGCCATGTTTCTCCTATCAACACAAAGTAAGAGTGAAAATATAACAAATGGGTACTTTTTTTGTTTTGTTTTATGTAGCCATTGTGTTGCTGTTATCCCAAAAGAATTCATTCAATCTTAAGCACTTCCTATGTTTTTGTATTAGAAAATCCACAATGGACAAAAGCAGTGCATAATTGCAAAGTGGAACTAACAGAGCATGTTAGTTCCACTTGTACAATTTCATACAATTATTAGAAGACTTTCCAATTTATAACCCGACCAGTATGACGTGCGCCTTCGTATTCAGAAAGTTTGCTGTCCCGCTGAACCGACGTTGGCACAAAATGCCTCATTCATGAGAAAAAACACAGATGGACGGTCAGCACTTTCAGGCCTTCCCTTCAGCATACAGGAAATTCAAAAAGAAAAACAATGACTCTTCCTGGACACCGATAAGAGGAGCAGAGCAACTGCTGGGAAAAAGAGGAACCGAAGAAAAGTTGTTTTGGGGCAAAGAGGACCTTTGCATAATAGGTGGTCAGTTTTGACAGGCTGGAAAGCCGCTGAGGAGGGCCTTGACGTTGAGGCTGGAAAAAAGGAACTAACACTAAAAAAGAATAAAAAGAGGAACCCGAATGAGAAAATGACTCAGTTCTGAAGCAGCGTTTCTGAACAGGTGGTTTTTGTCAAATGGCTTCCCAAATGTTTTCACCAGCGAGGCACGAAAGAGCCTATTCCAAACGGCGTTCATTACAGACATCCAGCCACTCCCATTCATGCTACAGAAACAAGTCCGACGAGCAAAAAACTACAACGGAGAGATTTTGTCGAAAAATAAAACATCCATTTGAGTACTTTTCAGCTTGGTGTTAACTGGTATCTCTCTAAACCAGCTGCTGTGAGTCTTCTTTTAATCAGGAGGTTCAGTTTTATGTGTAGGTTTATACAGGCTTGGCAGATTAAAGATTAAAGGCTGATTTTATTAGAGAGGGCCCACACATGTAGGGAGTGGAGTGGAAGCAAGTTATGCTTACTAAATACTTGAAAACTGTTTTCCATGTAAAAGGTAAAAAAAAAAAAAAAAAACATACTTAAATGTGTGGTTATGATACGTCAAGCTGATTTTTACCTCTATTTCAATCTTTATTTAGCCCTAAGTGGGAGTTAAAAAATAAGCAGGCCTTCCACATGTCAGGAAGTTTCTGAGAGTTGCCTCTGGATGCAGACGCTCTGATTTTCCTGTTTCACCACCTCTTCGTAAAACTTCTCCAACAAGACCCGACAGGCCTTCGGACGAGAATTTCACAAGCGCAACTCACACGCCCTCATTACCACACACTTCTGTCTGCACATTCAAGTATACGATGCCTCACGCAGGAGGAACAGTATGTGCAGTCATCTGAAAGTCTTCTTGAAATGAAGCCGTGACTACACACCGTCGTCTGATCGCCCCGTTTGGGTTATTCAACATGATCGGAAAGACGCAACAGCAAATGAAATAAGAGAGATGTTCAAAAGAAAGACATCATGAGAAAACTATTTTTTTCATGAAGTTGGTCTAACTTGGTGGCTTAGGGAGTCTCTAACTACGTTTCAATTGACTGTACAATTGTGCAAATTGGAATTACAAAAACAAATTAGCTTAATGGGAAGGCGCCAAAAATTCACGTTTTTCTGATTAAAAAAAGTTTGAGGTGGTTTTTCGGCCGTATCAAAATTAGTGTACTTCGCAAAACTGTGACAGAAATGACTTTTTTGCATCACACAAATCACGTGATCAATAACTCGGCTGTTACTGCTGCCAAAAACCACAGAGACAATAAATGGTAGGAGGATAATGTTCTTACTTAACAGAGAAATGGCAAATTGTGTTTTTTTTTTGTTTTTTTTTTTTGCATTAGCAGGAATATCAACAAAGTGCTGTGCACATGTGTAATGGAAACGCAACGTCTTTCGTGATCAACATTAAGGGAGATTCTGGTTGAGACATCTTGTCCCTTATGATACTAATTTCAGCTGTTAAGGAGTTTTTCTACCACAAATTTGGGCTTTACATGCTATAAAGAGATTAAAGTAAGATTATGTGGATAATTCAACTTTGGAGACTAATTACATAGGCAAAAAAAAGGCTACAAATCTAAATAAGCATGAATATAAACACAGATAACTTAAAATATGTTAGGTATGGTATCAGTAATCAAAACTAAGTAAAAACTACTAAACATAGTTAGTTTAACAATTTGATCATGGTATTTGATCAAATACCATGTAAGCAGTAGATACTTGATGTTATACGCAAACAGTTTCTAAACAAGGCAGGAAATCTATGTTTATGCCTCATTGATTCTACAGAACAGAAAGGAAGGAGATGGCTCATCTTTTTAAACTAGTTATTAGATTAGTTAAATGGCAGACCTTTCTAAGCTGTCCTATTTGTATCACAAACATCTTTGTTAAGGTATCTGTACACGCAGCTCAGTCTGAGGAAGCTGAAATGACCTATGAACACGTCACACCGTGATGTAATCAGAAAGACAGGTGTAAAGATATAACGTTGACTCACAGCGCACACTGAGGTGCTTATGTTTGGTACTTCTACACTTCCAGTAATGTCTGGTTGAGCTTGTATTCGTCAGAATGATTGCTATTATTATTAAATTCCTAATTTGGTGGTTTGGCATAGAGCTCTAACATGAGGTATGTGGAAAAATGAACCACTCTCATTATCCCATTTTAAAATAATTCTGCTTGATTTTGATGATTTAAACAGAAGTTTTACAAAGAACACTTCATTTGTACAATTTTTTACAATTATTGAATGATTTTATTCAGTTTTTTATTTTCTTTATTATTGCATTTACCAACAGTGCTGGTAAATGAGAAAAAATGAAAGAAAATAGTGTAAAACACTGCATTTAGGGTTCACAAAATCGCAAATTATTATTAGCATTGGCTAATTACTTATAGGTTACATGCA